CATATTATATATTTTTACAAGTAAATTCAGAGTTAACTTGAAGGGAAGATAGGGACTAGCTTTTGAGAGTCATTTGCTGTGCGTAATGTCTCTCCCCCCACTGAGGCTTTGCCAGGCAATGGGAGTTAAGCGCTTCCTGCATTCTACCTAAAGAAAATAACCTAGAGAGGTCAAATATTACAAATCACACTCATCACAGGAAATAAACTCCAATATGGGATTCTAGAAATTGGTATCTCCACTTTTTGGGATTGAGGACAATTATGATGCTGTTCCAATCAGATGACTGAATTCTGGATTTACATGACTCCCAGTTAAGACCTATATCATATTGAGCGATTTGTAGTCGACATGAAGAGATTCTCTGGTGTAGTAAATTTTGGCTCAATGGGCTCAAGCGTGACAACAATTGTGAGGTTGGCCCCAAGATTGGGCAGTGTTTCATTCTGTTGTGCATAGGGTTGCTATGAGTCAGTACTGACTCAATGGCACCTAACAACAACAAGTGAAAATTTTGGTTTATAGAAGTGAATTTAAAAAACATACACAAGATTCTATTATTCATGAGTAAACTCTGTAGTCTTGAGAAAAATCATTCTGCTGTGTAGAGAATGTTTCTCAGGTGAAAAGTTTCCTTAGGCCCTGCTTTATGTCCTTATTTCTAAGACTGTAGATAAAAGGGTTAAGCATGGGAGTGACCACAGTGTACATTACTGAGACAATTGCAGTGGCAATGGAGTTTTGTGTAGCAGCAGAACTAAGATAAACTCCAAAACCTGTACCATAGAACAAGGAAATGACTGAGAGGTGAGACCCACAAGTAGAAAAGGCTTTAGACTTCCCCTCAGCTGATGAAATTCTCAAAATGGAGGACACAATCTTACTGTATGAGAAAAAGATCCCAGTAAGTGGAATAACACCCAGAACTCCACTTGCAAAATAAATGACTAAGTCATTGAGTAAAGTGCCAGAACAAGCAAGTCGGACTACCTGACTAAGTTCACAGAAAAAGTGGGAGATTTTCAATTCTGTACAAAACGACAACCGCAAAACCATTAAGCTATGTAGTAGAGACTGCAGAGCACTCAATAACCAAGATGCCATAAGTAGGAGACTACAGAACTTGGGCTTCATAATGATCATGTAGTGCAATGGGTGACAGATGGCCACAAACCGGTCATAGGCCATCACTATCAAGAGGAAATGGTCTAATCCTATAAAAAACATGAAAAAAAACATCTGGGTGATGCAATCTTCATATGTAATGACGTTATTCTGTATCTGAATGTTCAGCAGCATCTTTGGGATCGTGTTGGAAGTTAAACAAATGTCTGCAAATGAGAGGTTGGAGAGAAAGAAGTACATGGGGGTGTGGAGGTGGGAATTCATTATGATGGCCAGTATGATGAGCAAATTCCCAGTAAAGGTGACCAGGTACATTGACAGGAACAGTCCAAAGAGGAGGGGCTGTAGATCTGCCTCTTCTGAGAGTCCCAAAAGGATAAATTCTGAAACACGTGTTTGGTTTCTGGGTACCATGTAACTGATGAATCTGCTGGAAAAGAGAAAAGAGAATGCAAATTTATTCATAATAATAGAACAAAAATTTGACAAATGGGTTTTATTTATATTTTTCATTATTGTGTTTTCATTGAATCAGTTCTAACTCATAATGAACCTGCATAGGGTTTCCAAGAAAGACTTGTGGGTTTGAACTGTCAACCTTGCAGTTAGCGGTCCAGTGCTTATCTTACAGCACCACATCAGGAATATTTATAATTTAAACATGTTTTAATTATCTAATTCCTATATAATGTTTTAGGTCCAGTGCCCATTACCTAAAGATTTCATGGAACATGAAATACTCAGTCTTATTGATGCTGAAACTGACTATTCTTGTTTACCTTTAATCCTAAATATTTTGCTAATGAAACATTTGTTTTCATTTTTAAGTGCTGTCCAGTTGGGTCCGACTCATGGAGACCCTGAATAGGGTTTCTGTGTGATTAACTGGTAGCTTTGAACTGCTGACATTGTGGTTCGCGGTATAGTGCTGATCCTACAGCATACCAGAAGGCTTCTTTGAAATCCATGAGATTTTGTTTAGTTCATTCAGTAAATAGATTTCATGAATTTTATGTCAAGTGTTCTTCATCCAACAGTTCTGTCAGTTTGTCATACTGTGTGACTTGGGTGTTGTTATGAATCCAGAAGCTATGCCACTGGTGTTTCAAACAGCAGCAGGCTAACTCATGACAGAAATGACAGACTAAGAACAGACTAGGAAGAAGAAAGAGGTGGAACACTTCTAAAAGAATTAGCCTCTCAAAACCTTACGAA